CGTAACGCGTACATTTCCGCACTTTGGCTCTGACGTGGCCACCTTTAGCTAATGATGACCCCGACAAAAACTAGAAACAAAACATAAACGACGGCAACAATACAAAAAAAAAAAAAGAACATTTTTCATGACTGATGTTTGTGCGTGGGCGGACACGCCCTATGCCAAGGTCAGCTCCATGGGCTAGGTCATGCACTCGGCGAGCATTTCGCAGGCAACGGCAAAAGAAAAAAAACGAGAAAAAAAAATGGTAATGAAAAAATATTGTCATTAATTTTAATCCTCACACTTGGTGGTGCCGAAATTTCATTTTTCAAATTGCAAATTGAAATTACATTTTCAAGCACTCTCATCAGCAGCTGCTACCACTTCCTCTGACACCCCCCAACGCCCTTCACCCCATCGTCGTGATAGCCACCCCCCATTTGATTATGATTTTGTAATATTTTATTTGATTTTTCTCGCCTCGCCGGGCAATCGTTTTATACGCTCTCGAATGTGTGCTTCCGTTCGATAAGAGCGCCAGATTGCCAGTGCGGGCGAGATTTTGACCAAAATCCGTCAAACTTGCATATCAATATCGAAATTCAGTCGACACAAATACATGTACATATAATTCATATGCATTTGCCACTGAAAATTTGCTTGGAAATTGAGGTTAAACTAATAGAAATTTGGATAATATTGAGAACTTAGCTGCAATAACAGAGATTTAACATGTACTGTACTAACAGGTCTGTTAGGCATCTTTAGCATGTTAAGAGCGCGAAAATGTTAATGTTTAACGGAAACGTCAATGTAAACCAATTTGGCTTTTTAAATAAATAAGCCTTACGTTCTTGAAGATTGTGGCCTAGATTATTTATTTTGTAACAACAAATAATAATAATAATTTAATTGAGGAGTCAATTTCTGTAACCCCCTTCAACCAATTGACGATGACGATCGCATGCAGCTGTGCGGCTCAGAAAATGGGTACTCATATGGAATAAATCAATATTTATTCATAAATATGAAAATGACGGTAAATGCAGAGAAACAGTAAACGCAAGATAACGAGCGATAACAGTGGAAGGAAGGCAGGCTCTCCGCTCTCCGCTCTCCTCTGCAGCTCGCCTGTAGTCCAGCCGTTCCCGAAACCCTGCCCCCACCACACGCCCGCCCTCTAATGCCCCGTTTTAAGTTTTTTTCCCAAGTTAATATTGCTGTACTTAATCTATAATTCTATAAATATACATATATAAACATACATGCATACATATGTATGATCTATGTCAACAAATGTAAATATATATGTATGTGTGTGCCATGAAAGATTTCAAAAAACAAAAAGAGGCCGAGGAGCATGCACAGAAGCTGCTCATTGCTCAACAATTGGCCGCCTCTGGCGGCAGCGGCAGCGACGGCGGCGTCTCTGCCTCGAGCTCAGCTGCCTGTTTAGTGGGCGGCGGCACGCCCAACAGTGCCAGCAGCGGAGCAACGGCAAGCGATCAGCTGGACGAGCTCACCGAACAGCAGCGCCGCATGCTGCAACAGTACTCGATATCGCCGCCCAGCGAGACAATGATATCGGCTGATGGGGATCAAATAACGGTGCATCATCCGCGCGAGGAGCCCAAGAAATCCAGATTGAAATTGCGCGATTTCTTCGTTGCCGAATTTGGTATTATATTATGTTGATAATATTTCATACTATTTCTCTCAGCAAGCTAAATTCACAATCACCAGCTCTCTCTCGCTCTCTCTCTCTCTCTCACACAAGTAGCGCTCGCTCCTTTCTCTCGCTCTGTCTGTACCTTTCGCTCTCGCTCTGTCTCGCTGTCTCGGTCAACGTGTGTGTGTGCAAGTACAGTGAAAGCTCTACGAACGTACGCTACATTTTATTCTTTAGTTTCTCGAATAAAGCGGCTTCCATTCGACTCACTGTACAGACAACTGTACAGAAAACTATTTCAAACTGGACTTACATGAAAACTGGAAAATTGAAAGCCAAAATAGAAAAGATTTCCCTTGATGCATATCTCGCCTTGTGGGAACCAGGCAACCGGAACCGTATGCGTTCGCTCCGGCGAGCTTTCACTGTATATTGCCAGTCTTTTGTGCCCACAATCCCCATCCTTTGCCTGTGCTCCAAAAAGTCAGCTAACAATTGACATTTGCTGTTTTCATCCAGTTGGCATTGCAACCTTTGTGGCTAATCCTTTCATTACGTTCTTGGGCACAAAACAATCAACAGCAGCAACAACAACAGCAACAAAAGTATGCAAAATAGTTTTTGTAGCCTAACTTCTTCGTTTACACAAGGGAATTGAAACAAAATACATAGTTGAGCCCGGCGGCAGAAAATGAAACATGTAGCTTGATTCAATTGCAATGCATTCCACTTGAACATAACTCACATACGCAAATGATGGAAATTATTTCTGGCGTTTACCCTCTGCTCGGAGAGCATTTCAATTCTGTATTCGTAAACATTTTGACTAAAAATAGCTAAAGAGCCATAAATACATTTTACGAAAGTTTCAATAATGTTAAAACTCATTTCAAATTTGGCAGTTATTTGCCGGCATATGCATTTGTTTTTCATAAAAATACGATCAAATCGAAGTAGACAATTAATTATGTTAAATGCAATTTGAATTTGAATTGCAAGACAATTCCTATTTAAGCAAGCAACAACAGAATTGAAATTGAAGCAAATATTTAACAGTTTTCTGCTCAATGCCATCTTTTTTTACAGAACTGTTAAGAAATGCATGATTAACAGCTAAGTCTGGCTTAGTTCAAATATAGCATACATATCTTAGTTAGTTTTAGTAACTATCTAATAAATATGAATCGATTTTGAAACAGCTTAAGCTCTGGAAGTTGTATCTATGATCAAATGTTAAATAAAACATAACATTTACATAGCTGTTAACTGCTTAGCGAACTTCTGTTAACTTTCTGGCTAGGGGCCTTTAACATAACTCGACTTTACATTTGAACACAAAAAACGCGTACACTTTGTTTTGTAGCTCACTTGATTTTCCAGTGTATTGTTGCACTTATCTTTCGCACTCTTTGCACAATTTATGCAGCCAAGTGCATTGTCATTGCCAGGCCCATTACCAATGTTTATGGTGTGTCTGCTTTCTGTCATTTGTGGTTAGCTTCCCGAAGCGATGTTACGGCCCCTAAAACCCACAAAAAAATCAACCCCCGCTCACCAAAAAAAATATAAAAAAATATAATAAATGTAATTGTTTTCACACGCCAGATTTGCAAATGTCAAATAAATTCTGGCATATTATGCACTCTGGACTGAGGGATAGCAATGCTAATATATAACATTTACATGGATGATTTCTCTCTCTGTGTGTGTGAATGACTGTGAAAGTAGTTGATTGTGACACGCGACTGACACCCAGCTACTCCCCCCGACCCCGCTAGTCTTCTGCTTAGCGGCCAAAAAACAATAATCGTAAACTATCTCGAAATTGATTGGCGTTGAGTGTGCAAAAATTTATCATAGACATGAAAACGGAAACAGTCGCCGAATGAAATTTGGCATTCGGTAATCGCTGCTCGCTGTTTGCTATTGTTTATATTATTATTTTATTTTTTTTTTTTATTTTCATTTTGTCGTGTGCAAACAGGTTCATTCACGTGATACGATGGCACTCTCCACCCTCCACTCAGCTCAGATCCGCTTCACCCACTGCCAAAAAGATTATAATAATAAAAACAGAAACAAAGCAAAAACCATTTAGCTAATCAGTCGCACAGAGCACAGAACTCAATGAAGGTTACGTAGCGCCCCAGCAACACACATTTACATAATTTTCGTGCCAAAGTTATCACTTTAAATGACTTTTACACCATCAAACAGAATTTTGGAAACATTTTCCTGTTCCTAGTTGTGTAGCTATAGTAAATAAATCATCTGAAAAGTATTTGAAAACTATTGGATTTTCTTAAGTTATCGATTTGTTGTCAAACATTAAAATACAAGTATATATTTAAACAAGCATCGAAGCTAAACTTTTGACTGACGTGATCATTTCAAAATATATAAAAGTATCGATAACATCTAAACTATCGATTGTGGTTATATTATGTAATAAAATATCTACATATAATTGACTTAACAAACTTTATTATTTTAAAGTATTCAAATGTGACAAGGATTCTTAATATGACGTTATACGTTAATATGAGTTATCGAAAAAAGATATATATCGGTTTGGTCGATATCGATATCGCTGCATCCTCAATTACTATTGCATCTAATCTAATCAAATCGATAACATATATACTGTAACGATAACGATATCGATGGATTCCACCTTGATCCAAACGAATGCGATCGCGGGAAATATCTATTGACATTTGCATAGTTATCGAAAAATACCGATGCATCTTAGTACATCGATTACATATGCATTGTTACAATAAAATTATCGATATATTTCAACTTAATTCAAGCGAATGTGTTTGCTCACTTTTCTTTTGGTCAACTAAGATATTGAACAGTTTGAAACTTTTTAAACAGGCCTTCGCCCATTATTCGTATGCGTCTCAACAACTACTGCCATTGGCCTAACTAACGATTATATTCGATAGTCAATCATCGGTAAGCAAGCAGAACGTTCCATCATCGTCCAAAGTTATCTAAGAAGCTCTTGAACATGTCCGACAAGTTGGCTCTACCCATGCTGATAAGATACACAACGCATATAATGATAAAACCGAAGTAACAATGGAAGCGCCTGTAACTATTTTAGTTTGTTCAGATGTGCAAATTTATTTGCAATGTTGATTGCGCAGTGTTATCGATTTGTTCGACTCTGTGCGAAGTAATCATAGTGTCTACTTTGAAGGGCTCAGCTCCACGTCCATGTCCATCTTCACGCCCATTTCCACAATCGCTTGATTTCCTTTCGTGCTCAAATATCCTTCGTTATTTTTTGATGCATTTCTAATGTTTGTATAATATTTGTATAATTGAGTTGGTTGACTTTCTGTCATTGTTGTTGTTCTCGTTGTTGTTGTTGTTGTTGTTGTTGTCATCGTCGATGTCGCCAGAGACCCATGCCATATGTTATAGTTGTTGTTGTTCTCGTTATTCTCGTTGTTGTTGTCGCTTTTGTCGGGGGCATCTTTCAAGTCTGTTCGCGCTGATTGAAAATAGAATTTGAATTTGAATGTCATAACCTTCACTTGAGTCCCATCTATTAGACTCAAAACAAATATATTAATAATAATAGCATGTAATAATAATAATAATAAACGGAATATCATTAGATACTTCAAGTTGCCAGCGGCTCGACTCATTGCGTGCGATTTTTGCAACCGCCAACGGGAAGTGGAAATCCAAAATTGTTCGTCGCTTTATTATGTGGGTGGCCCTCCCCCTCCCATTTCCTCGCATTTTCCGCTAATGCCTTGCCATTTCGTTTAAGTATTTTTTGATTAGCTTTTTGCCATTGACTTTATCATGGCGTGAGTGCTGGCAGAATTGTTGATGGTTTCTTGCCTAATTGTGAATGGATCCAGGGGCTTGGAGAAATTGCTTATTGCCTTTAAAATGGAAAGTCCTCGTTGTAATTTAGGCAGGAATAAATTACTGAATAGCTCAAGAAATTGTTTGTTACTGTTAGAATCTGAAAGAAGCAAAACTAAAGGCAATAATAAATAAGAGCAGTGCCGTCGAGAGGGCTTGGTCATATCTCTCTTGGAATTCCAGTTCATTCTTGTCCTTTTTATACATTTTTAATGGAAACACAGGATAAGTCCCTTGAGTCTTATGTTTAGAAGTTAATTATAACAAAATAGCATGCTGGCATATCCACACATTGTAGAATATTTAGAAGCTTTTGCTTTTGTCTGCATACTCTGAAGAGCCATTCTAGATTGTGGCCTCCAGCCAGGATGGATGCTGGGCCGCAATTAAAAGTGCCTGGCATCAATAACTAGAGTGCGTCGGCTTCTAGCGAAATTGCTTTCCGAGAAAACAGCATTTGATTGCTGTTGCTTGTTGACCTTTAGTTTTAATATTGCATTCCTGGAATTCCTTGGCCAATCTGAAAAGCTCTTGTGGTCTGTAAGTCATCTCTTCATTCTCTTTATTATCTTAACTTAATGTTGCTTGAATTGAAATAGCAGACTCTTTCGAGTCAATTAAAGCATTTGTCAAGTCTGTCTGCCATCAACAGAGGCAACATCAACAACAAAAAGATAGAAAACTGCAATCATATTATGACAAGTGGCTAACGAAAAGCCAACACAACCGCAAAGTTTGTTCATTAAATAAGAGCACGCTTCATGCATGCTTAAGCAACCCGCAAACAAACAAACAAACCAAAAAAAAAAACAAAAAACAAAAATAATGAAAAGAAGAAACTGAAAAAAATACAAAAATATAACGAAAAACACAACAATATAAGAAAAATGTACATAAAACCCCCGGAGAGAACTGAACCCGAACCCCAAGCCCAACCCCAAACTCAAGCCGAACTCACAGCTCTAACGGAATGACGTGGAGAGCAACAAACAACGAGCAGTTACAGTAACAGCTACTGCCCGTTGCTAATAAACAACTGCAAGTGCCCAATACCCTGTACAAAGTTGGTTTACAATCGGATCGGTGCAGCTATATACGTTTTTCCAACAACGTGAAGG